TGGGTTAGTTCAAAAGACTAGTTCTTAAGCTCTGAAATGGTTTCTTCTGCTTGGTTTAGTCTAGTGATAACGCTTTCACTTGTATTTTGAAGTTCCTTAAGTGAGTTGTCCAATTCTAGAAGCTGTGATTAATTACATTTTAAGATTTATCTCCTCTTTCATTTTCTGGACTGCTTTAGAAGTTTCTTTTCAATCTTGTGTTGGATCTCATTGAGCTTCCTTGCAATCCATGATTTGAATTCTTTATCTGTCACTTCTGAATTTCTATTTTCATTAGGGACCTTTGCTGGAAAGCTAGTGCAATCCTTTGATGGTGTCACTGCATTCATATTTTTCATAGTGTCAGGATTTTTGTGCTTGTTCCTTTTCATTTGGAAATTTTGGCACTTCTAATTTTTATAATTATTTTCATGTTTGTAGGATTTTTTTTCTTTTTCTTTATCTCCCTATCATACCATTGCTATTTTTTTCTTTCCCTTTTCCTTTTCCTTTCCCCCGCTCCATTGGGTCTTTTGGTTTTGCTTCTGTAGCCTTTTGTACTTCTTTCTGTAGGTTTTATATTGGGGCTGTGCAGTTTGACCTATATGCCAGTAGACAGTGCTTATGCATGATAGCAGGCTGTGGCCAATGTGACTACGTATATACTTGATCCTTGTTTACTGGCAGAAGCTCTCTGTTGCCTCAGGCAATGGGCTGATTCTTGGAACGCACAGTTGTCTGAGCTCCCTGCTCAGCCCAGGGGATTGGGGGCCGCAATGGGTGGGGCCAGACCAGGTAGGTTCATCTACAGGTCTCCTAATGACAGGGGCAAGCAACTGTGCTGCAGGAGAATCTGGGGAGCAGCCACCAAGTGCCCAGTTGTGTACCTCAGCATCAGGCTGGGAAATCTCCTTAACCCCAAGTGCACTGCATGGGAAGGGTAGCAGCCTATAAACCCCTAATCCAAGAGAGTAAGTGCTTCAGATGCCTAGATATAGAGCAGAAAGGCTATCCTTGCACCACAATCTCTGCACAGGAGGGGTGGGATGGCTCAGGCTGCCAATTCCAGTGAGCTGGTGCTCCTAATGGCTGGAGATTTGCCTGGGCATGGAGCAGAGAGTGCCTCATTGCCTCATGGTCTATGTTCAGAATAGGTGTGGTGGCTCAGGCTGCTGAGCCAGATGAGCAGGTGCTTTGAATGCCCAGAGATCTGCCCTGACGTGAAACAGAGTTTGCCTCCCTGCACCAGGATCACTGCACAGGATGAGTGGTGCAGGTCAGACTATTGCTCCAGGTGAACAGGTTGTCTGAATGCCTGGAGATCTGCCTAGCCATGGAGTGGAGAGGGACTTGCTGTACCATGATCTATGTCTGTCATGGGTGGGGCAACTCAGGCTACTGGTCTGGTCAAGTGGGTGCTCCAAATGCCTGGATTTCTGCCTGGGAGTAGAGCAAAGAGGGCCCTGCTGCACCACAATCTCAGGCGAGCAGGCTGGACACCTGCAGATTGGTTCCAGATTGCCAAGCTGGCCCTAGATACAAGTATTACTGCCCAGTAGAAACTGCAGCTTTATCAGCTCTCCTCCTGTCCCAGTGTTGTGACAGAGGAGAACACAATTCCAGCACCTACTGCTGAGGGGCTTTCCACAGTTCTGGCTGTGGAGACTCCTACACTTCTCTAGAGTGAGTGCCCTGGTCTCTGGCTAGAGATTAAAATGAATGGCTGCCTTGCTACGCACTCGGATTAAAAATGGCATCCTGATCTTGGTCCTGGGTATGGGAAAATGTCTGCAGCTTTTCCTCACATCTTTCTCTCACAGTGTCTCCAAGAAACTCTGCAAGTTAGCTCTAGGGCTTGGGAGATACAAAGTGCTTTCCCTTGGCATGCTTTGCTGGGATCCCCAGTGGAAAGGCAGGTCACAGAAGGAGGCTCTCTGCCTCTCTCATGTACCTGAGTTTCTCTCACTTTTATTAGCTGGATGCCATCAAAGGGGCTGTTTGCCCATGTTTCCCTCCCTGGGATTTGGGGTGTCCTTCAATTTAGGTTGACCTGGTGGATTCCCATTTTCTTTCTTGAAATAAAGCCCACACAGTTGGCCTTTATGCACTATCTTGCTATTTCCACATGGCTGAGGCATGCTACAAGGCTCTAATCTACTATCTTGGGGGAAAAAAAAGAAATAGCAGTTTTAAGACTAGGTCATACACTAACATCATGTAGAGATAGCTTAAAAATACAGATTTCTGATCTCTTCACAAAAACAACACAATAAATAATCTCTGAGAAGTGCAACTCAACTAGGGATGGGTATTTCTTAGGCGCCAGAGTGATTTCTTATGCTGCCAGAATGGCAACTGCCTGAAGACTTATGCTTACATTTATGTTTATATTTGGGGAGAGAGACATTGATGAGAGCCTAGATACTGAGATCCCCATTTAGGGAGCTGCCAGGGGTCCAGGTGAGGAGCAATGAGGGGCTGAGCTGGAGCAGGAGCAGTGCTGGGGGAGAGGACGGGCAGAGCCAAGGGCTACCTCTGAAGTAGAAATGTTAGTTGGATACTGGAGTCTCTTTGGTTGAAGGAGTGAGGAGGGAGTTAGAAGATGACTTGAAGTAAAAATATTGCTAGATACACATTATAGCTGTGATGCTTGTGTGTATTTTTAGCTGAGTCTGTGGCACCAAATGGACCATTTCAGGCTGCTGGTACAGGGGGCCAAAGTTTGATTTAATCTAAGGCATGAGGAATGGGCCTTTGAGATCAGCCACACCAAGTTCATTTATAGATAAGAAAACTGAGTCTCAGGGAGAGAAATACATGTGTCTGAGCCTGTTCTGGTAACCAGTGAGACCAAATTAAGACCACGTCTTTTGACTTTTCAAGTTGGTATCTTCTGCTGTGAGATTATGTAAATAGTTCCTGCAGCAATCATATTAACTTTTGTGATTTGGTTGATTGCTTTCTCATTTAACACCCCTTATAGCTGAAAGCTGAATCATGAGCCACATCTACACTGCTATGAAGTGTGTATGTAAGAGCACTGGGGACTTATGTGGTGAAGTGGATTATTTTCAGTGCAGTAATCCAATGTGACAAAAGTTTAGAAATTTCTCCTGGGTAAAAACTGTATATTTCCAGCACAAAGTATAGAGCTTTAGCCACATTAGCTATTCCATAAGTATGTGTTGAATAAGTGATCTAAAACCAAGGGAAGTTTTTGAATTATAGTCATTTTTTAAACAGGAAATTTAACTACGGTGAATTCATCAGGTCTCTACTTTGCCCAAAAATAGGCACTCACTCTGAGTCACATGGTTCTCATTTTTTGAATAAGAAACAGCAAAGAGGACTATCAGTTGAAAAAGGAAGGAAACAGTGTGAGTGCTAGGAATGCTCTGATCTAAATGTGATCTCTTAACTGGAATGCCAAAAATATGAACTCTCCAAGTGGGCTGGCTCAGTGACCTCAACATATAAACATCTTTTCTTTCTAGAAACAAGCTGTCTTCTTCTTATTTCTGATCTAACATACATACATTCACAAACTCAAACACACATGCACACGCACACACACACACACACACATTTTCCTTTTTGATTCTCTATGAAGGTATAGCCTATGTATTGCGTTTTGTATGGTCTTAAAATAACTCTATCATATATTTAAAATGCAAAATCTTTATTCTTGAGGACTGCCTTATTCTACTATGAAAACCTCTGGACAAGCAGATTATTGACTAACCCCTGACTTTGCTCTTCATCTGATTAGATCCTTGAAAGAGATCATAAGACATCCTTTAAAAGCCTAAAGGCCTTGGAAGTTCTGAGTAATCATAGAAGGCTTTTTTACCCTATTTTTCTGAAATGTCATGGCCACCCTGGGCAGTATCAAAGGAGATCACTGTTTGCACCAGGAATTTAAAAAGAAAAAAAGAAGTTTAAAACTTATTTGGGAAAACTAAAAGTTCATCTCTGAGTTATGTGTCATGTGGAGAATATTTTGCCCCTTTCTTTCATTGACTAGACAACTATGGGATAAAAAATGCATCTCTGGTATAACCCATGTAAGAAATACTGTAAGACTGTCATGTGCTGGCTATGACAAAATACTCTTTTTTCCAGCGATACTTGCTTGTGCACACAGGCTCACACACTGGGACCAGAGCCCTCAACCTTCATTCATTTTCACTAAGTGCTTAGGGAGCCTTCTCTTACAACTTCAGTGCTACTACCAATGTAAATATAACCATCTACAAAACAGCTTGCTAACTTGAATTAAAACTTACCATCATAAAGGTTTGAGCTCAAAATTAAGGGTAAAATATTCTTCTTAGAGATATGTTAACCTGTATTTTCTTAGATACATCCCAGTTTTAGCATTTTACTCTTTCCAATAAAAGTTGACTTGTTAAATACATGCTAACTTTGTTTTAATTTATATGACTTTATAAGACTGTTAACATTAATAAATTCCCAAATCAGAATAAAAAGGCTTCGTCTGGTCACATACTTCTAGGGTTTTGAGTTCAGAAAATACAAGTCATTAGCTTCTGTCTTCAGCAACCCTTAGTAGACAGAGGTAGAAGTAATAGAATTTTGTTCATTTTTGTTATTCAGCTGAAATACTTACAATTATTTTTTGTCATAAACCCTGATCTGAAACTCTGATTTCAGAACTTGTGCCATATTGTCTTTCACATTTTTTAACATGCTTCCAAAAGAGAAGGAAAACTCCAGTATTGACTAGTTCTAAGGTACTATGCTGGGTGCTTTGCATATATTAATTCACTTCATCCACCTGGCAACACTGTGCAGTATATATTATTATTGCCAATTTGCAGATAAGGAAAAATAAACTTAGAGTGCTTAAGAAACTTGACAATATTCAATCAGAAAATTAACCATCAGAGCAAAATTGATTCCAACTGATTCTAATTCTAAAACCAATCCTTATCCTAAAAAACAAAACAAAACAAAAACAAAACTTATTTAGTGTTTTGCTATAGTAGGGCTTTTCTTACCCAATAGGTTGTAGAGCATTTAAGGGTAGAGACCATCTAGTTCACTGCTGAATTCTGAGTGAGTAGTCCAGAAACTGGCATCAATACAATAGGTGTCCAATAAATATCTGTTCGGTCAAATTCAGTGGGATGGTCCTGTGTGTGGTCCTGGTATATAAGCCTGCAGAAGAGAGAGTACAAGCCTATACTTCAGTAGTTGAGAGTATTTAATGTTGGTAAAAGACTGTGAGCTCTAGATTCAAACTGCTCAGGTTTGAATTATGATTTCTTAAGCTTCCTATCTATATGATTTGAGAATGTTACTTAGACTAAGTCTCAATTTTCTCACTTTAAAATGGGGGTAATAATTGCACCTTTATAATCACTTATGTAAATCACATTTTTCATGGTTAGTAAACATGAATGAATTTTAGCTAATATATAACCTTTAATTGGACTAGATTGTGGATCCCTTTTAAGCATACTCCATAATTTTGTTATTTATGATGTTTATTGTTTAGAATCTGTCTTCCCATTAAAATGTAATCTCCATGGTGGCAGAAATTTTTATGTTTTAATCAGAGTATCCCAAATATTTCGAATAGTGTTGCCCAATCAAATGTTCTATACTTATGGAAATGTTTTATTATTGGCATAGTCAGTAGGCACTAGCGACATACAGTTACTGATCATTTGAAATGTAGCTAGCTAGGGTGACAGAGTACTTGAATTAAAAATTTTGTTTTGTTTTTGTTCATTTAATTTAAATTGCCACATGTGGCTACTGGAATACTATATTTGCACAGCTCTAGAATATTACATGGTACACAGAAATTTTTCAGTATGTATTTGTTAAATGAATGAATTCCCTTCTGAAATCAAAAATCAAGAATAAAGCTGCATGATTGTATATATAGTTCACTCTTTAAAGATAATCAATAAAGATGAAGCATTTTACTGATTGACTTGCTCATCTTGGAGGCTTCATGAAGTTCTAATATGATTCAGTTTGCAATTGTAATACATTTTTATTTTTATTTCTTTTTGGTGTCAGGTCAAGAAAGATTTGGAAACATGACGAGGGTCTATTACCGAGAAGCTATGGGTGCATTTATTGTCTTCGATGTCACTAGGCCAGCCACATTCGAAGCAGTGGCAAAGTGGAAAAATGATTTGGACTCCAAGTTAACTCTCCCTAATGGCAAACCGGTTTCAGTGGTTTTGTTGGCCAACAAATGTGACCAGGGGAAGGATGTGCTCATGAACAATGGCCTCAAGATGGACCAGTTCTGCAAGGAGCATGGTTTCGTAGGATGGTTTGAAACATCAGCAAAGGTAATGTGACTTTAAATAATAAGCTTAATATAAGCAAGGTTCACAAAGAAAATGGCATATAATCATCACTATCTCATAATGATAATAATATGTTTGTTTAGTGATTTGTGGTTTCCAGATTGCTCTAAGCTCTTTCTCATGTCAATGCAATGAGCAGGCAAAGCAGAAATTATTGTCTACAATTTATTATTGTGGCAAGAGGAGCAAAGCAACTTGTAGAAGGTTACAATAGTAATAGTGGATAACTGTGTTTGCTTTTTGAGGTCTTACTATGAGCCAGTCATATTTTGCATGCATTTTCCTATTTAGTCCTCACAACAACTTTATTACATGAGTATGGTTTTATAGTAAAGGTCTTATTCATGTGTTAGTTAATTTACACAATCGATATTTAATATATTCACCTGTACGTCAGGAAATGTGCTTGCTCCTAGGAAAGAAAAGATGGCAAACACTACATTGGGCATACTGGAATGGTGGGGTAACAGAGAATAGACAGCAAGCACAAATGTGAAGAACACAGCATAGCTTGGCCATGCTGATTCCCCTGGGTAGCAGAAAAGTGGCAGGAGGTGAAGCTGAGGCAGGGCTGGAAGATGAAGGATCCTGTATGATGTGATGAGGATAATATACTTCCCATTGTTCCCTAATGTTGCCATCTGATATGTCAGGTGTCTGGCTTTTGTTCTACTCTCTTTTTGTTTGTGCCTGTATTTTTAAAATCTCAGTATCACAGGAGAAAAAAAAAAAAACTTTCATGGCAAAATTTGAAAATCCATAAAAAACCATAACTAAAATTTAAAAAGAATAACTATTTTTTGCTGTATATTCTGACTTTTGTGTGTCTGCATATAATTACATTATTAGGATTGCATTTTACATGGTTTTATATCATGATTTTTCCACTTTTATTCAAATATTAAATGTTTGTGGAGCACAGGCATTGCGCTAGTTTTTGGGATTCAGCTATGAATAAGATAGCCATGGGCTCTGTACTTATGGAGTTCACACTTGGGCCTTATAGTGAACATTTGTGCCCCTCATTAGCAAATGGTTTGAAAATATTACTGGAGTCATCATTCCAAAAGGCTGAGGAGGAATCTCTAATGGGTTTCCTACTGGAAAGTAGAATGGTCCAATTTGCCTTGGAGAAACTATTGGAAGACGGATTGGAGGGCAGTGAACCAGGAGAGAGAGTGGCATGGTAGTTACCATGTTCTGTGAGAACATAATGAGAGCTTAAACTGGAATAGTGGCTATAGATAGGAAAGAAAACCTGGATTTGAGAACACCACCACATTACAAAGACCAGCACAATTAAGCAAGCACTTGGATTGGAGATGATGGAGAAGAAGAAAAGGGCAGTGGTGCCACTTTTTCTGTCACAGTGGGATGTTCTTTTGTTTGAACCATTCCTGGAGAGCCTTGAAGCCTGTCTCCTTGCTCTTCTGTCACTAGCTTTTATGTTTGGAAAGTTGTTATTGCTCAGTTGCAAGAGTTGTTGTCTTTCTTTTGAGGCCTGAGTGTGCCAGTGTGCTTTTCCCTTTCATTCTATTTAAAATTTTGATTTCCCCTGTTTCTTGGGATTCTTCCTTTGGTTCAGGATACATTCCCCATCATTTTATATTTCTTGACTTTCATTGAACCTTTTTAGTTTATGTGGTTGAAGGATTTCTTGCTGTAAGGGGAGACAAAGCACAACTGAAAGGTATGATTAGGTTACAGAAATTTAACAAGCATGGTTTCTTTTTGTAGTCTATTTTCTTTTTTGAATGTTAGCCTGTTTTTTTTTTTCTTTTAATTCCAAAATGTGGGTGAATTCACTTATTTCCATTTCCTTTTAGCACCAATTTCAATTTCACTCCAAAGTTCCTGCATATTCCTTCAAATTGCTTTCTTTCAAAAAATGTCACTCTCAGCTCAGAAGCCTCCAGGCACAGGGGAGAAAGAGTAGGACTTTGGAGAACTCCTTTTCTCAGTTGATTACATTACATTGTAAGTGCTAACTAGATTGAATGACCCATACTTACATGGGGAGAGGAGTCTTCTGTTATTCATTCATTCATTCGTTCAACCAATAAATATTATCAAATACCTGCTATATGCCAGACAAATGTTCTGGGCACTGAGAATGTAGAAACTTATGAAACAGATAAAACCTTGTCTTCATGGATAAAAACAACAACAAAACATAAATAAAATATACAGTGTGTGATAGTTATTAAGTGCTAATAAGAAAAAAGGGAAAAAAGAAAGGAGGAGGCCTATGAATCTGTAGGGAGGCTTGAAATTACGTGTGGGTCAAAAGACCTTCCGAAGACATTTTTCACCTCACTCTGACATTCCTTGCTCAACCACTATAGTGTTAAACTGCCTGCTTAAGGACACAATGTTTAGTACCTCTTGGACTGGCTGACCCACCTTACTTAGGTACTGGATTTCTAATCCTCCAAATCCCTGTAACTGTGAACTTTGAAGAGAAGCTTTGTACAGTGTTTGGGAGGGGGCACATGAGATTTCACAAGCATTATAATCAAGAGAGTACAAGGCCTTATTGTAAAATATAGAAGGCATGTTCAACGTCTCTTTTCCTTCCATACGTAATGCTATTGAGGTTGTCCTTCTGAATGTCTTAACAAGAATGTCTTGCCTGTGCCAGATTAGTATTCAAAGTCAACACTTAGAAGCTCAGGAACAATCCTGCAGCATTGACAAACCGGAGTGTCAAACTTTTTTAAAATTCTTTTTAAATATCTCTGATAAAGCTCTGCTAACTTTCTGACTATAGTATTACAACATTTACAAAACTGAGGCCTAGATTTAACTGTCTGCCTGAAGCAGAGATGGTAGATTATGGGGATAGCTATGAATTCCTTCATTTTGAGATCAGAGAACATTTTCCATAGGTATCCTTCTCTTAGACAGTCAATCGACTAAAAATTAGAGTCCTTTTGAGTGATGACATAATGTCTGGTGATAAATACCTGATTTCCTTTCTTCGCATCGCTGAAACTTCTGAGTCAAACTTCTGGCTTTGTCCCCATGGGCACATCCAGTAGAAATCCTTCAGGTATCATCATCAACTTGGACATCTCTGCAGTTGAAACTTTCAGGGTTTTAGATGAGTTAGTCATTGAAACCAGCCTCCATCTTACCACAGACCCCACTACTGAGGGAAATTTACCCTTTTGCTCTTCAGTCCTATGGAGTAACTTTCCATGAGAGTTTTCATGACTAATGCTGTTGCGGGAGCAATCATGGTAGCCCCTGGCTGGCAAGTGAATTAAGAGAGAAAAAATAAAAATTAAATACATGTTGGTGTCTCTGGTTTTTCACATTCTCTCTCCCAATATTAAAACCAAAGGAAAGAAAATAGTCTTTTCTGAGTCATATTCTTTGATTTTTAACATTTGCATTCTTTTGCTTTCTTGGCTGTATTTCATTGAATTCCCCCTGTAGATTCTCTAGGTGATGTATAATTGGGGTACTTGTGTGTCCCATTTTGCCCCCCAAATTCCTGGTTTATACCTGCTGTTCCAGCGTAATTATTAATAATACCTTCATTTTTAATTTGTAATTTAAATGTACATGGTCACCCTGTAGATCATGAGCTCAACTTATTTTACTCTCTACATCATACTTTAGCTCTAATAATGGATATTTTAATATTCCTGTGCCCATATCCCATTTTTATAATCTGCTTTGGCAGATCTGTTTCTTTAGGATAAGGACCCTGCCCTTCTCTTGTTAGTATATCTTCAGGGCCTATTTCAAAGGCTGACTTGGTTTTGCTGCCTGCTGAACAAATTACCTGGTACATTCTTGGCGCCCATTGCCTGAATCTCCATCAGTTGCTGTTTTTGAATTCACTCTCTAATCACACCCACTCACCTAGAGCTACTGTGAGCATTAAGAGATAATAGCATAAGAGATAATATGGCTGGGCGCGGTGGCTCACACCTGTAATCCCAGCACTTTGGGAGGCCGAGGCAAGCAGATCACGAAGTCAGGAGTTCAAGACCAGCCTGGCCAACATGGTGAAACCCCGTCTCTACTAAAAATACAAAAATTAGCCAGGCGTGGTGGTGAGCACCTGTTAATCCCAGCTATTCAGGAGGCTGAGGCAGGAGAATCGCTTGAACCTGGGAGGCAGAGGTTGCAGTGACCCGATATCGCACCATTGCTCTCCAGGCTGGGCGACAAGAGCAAAACTCCATTCTCCCCCTCCCCCCAAAAAAGAGAGAGAAATAATGTATGTGGGGCCCAGATGCATAATATCTGATCCCACCACACATAGACACACACTTTACATACTCTACACCATTCCTACTGTCTCTACCCACAGCCCATACGCCGATTTACCTGTGATGCACACAACAGCCACACTCTGGTGGAAAAGTCTGTTTCTGTATCTTAGCCCTTTCCAGCCTGCTCCATTCTGCTCACATAACAGAGTGGATCAGGTGTGGCTATGCTTGCAAATACACCACCACAAACACTAGTGTAGGTGGGAAAGAATGGAGCAAGTTGTACCTATGCAATAGTGGAGACAAAAGTCAAATTCATAGAAAGAACCTCCAGTGCCTCCAGTTCTTGCTCCTCCTACACCAGTCCTACTCCTAACAGATATCTTTGGTTCTTTCTATGCTATTTATAGTGACTTTTTGGACCCACCCTCTCTCCCAAAATGTTCTAAGAGCAACAGGTGCACTTGGAAGAAGCTTATGTTAAATTATACTCAATTTTTGCCTTTTATTTGAAGCTAAAAATAAAAATGTTAACGTGTATGCTGCTGAGAAAAAGAATATATCTAATACTGTTCTCTATAAGATGGTATTAGTTTCTCTTAGGGAGAGGAATGGATGTTTCACGGTGTAGTGGATATTTCTCATGTTGTTTGGCTTTCTAACAACTGTTAAATACATTTGCTATCTTTGGGGAATTTCCAGCTGTAGGAAGCTCACCTCGCCAAGAAGAACTCATAAAACTTTCTTCTTTTGCTTCCTTTGCAGCTAGGCACAGGCAGATGACCTAGATTACACCAGTTGTAGGTTGTAGGCATCCATCTCCAAATAATGTAGATGAAGTTATAAGATATACCTCCACTGACTTAATTTGTCACAGCACATTTAACCCTGTATTTTTAGCTGAACTGACTTGAGCTGGTTATACTTAGGGACATAAAAGGAAGGGCCTGATTTGAAATCTAAAACCGGAGAAAACTTAGAATCACTTAGAATCATAATATGCAGGAAATGATGGCTGTGTTTAATAGTGATTTCACATAATGTCCACCAGTCTGTAGTACAACTGTTTGAGTCATCACTTCTGACAGATTATTAACGCCTTACATGAAGAATGAAAATTGTTTTCTGAAGTTGGGAATAGTTGAAGTGTATATGAGTCTCAAATTCAAGCTAGTTATCTATTTAAGGATCAATATAAATTAATAATAATATTTTATCTTTAGCTAATCAATTCTCTAGAGGTTCCCTACATCAATGCTTGTAATTTACTAGACAGTCTGAGGTCCAACTGTGACTAAGATACTGTATAATAGGAGAATAGAAATGAACGATCAGAGACTATAACCATCGTTTGGTTTGTATAAGGCAAGGTGTTGCATATGTCATTCTATCCTATATGGTTCATATTTTCATTACTTAGAGCTCAGATCTTTCCTGTTTCATGTTTGGACAGTCATAATAACCTGACTCCAGACTTTGCTCACTGTAGTGTTTTGCATGCTATTAAAAACTTAACCTGCTCAAGGGATGACTTTGATTTTGTCACTGCCTAGTTCAAGAATCTTCTGTAGGTTCTACTTCTTAATGATTTAAATTTAGACACCTTAGAACATGCATTAGCAAACTATGGCCTGTGGGCCAAATATGGCCTGCCCTGTAAATAAAGTTTTGTTGGAACTCAGCTGTGCTCATTGGTTTACATGTTATCAATGGCTGCATTTATGTTACAACTACAAAATTAAACAGTTGTAACAGAGACCTTATAGCCTGCAAAGCTCCAATTATTTACCATCTGACCTTTTATGCTTCAAAGTTTACCACCGATGCCTCAAAATGAGAATAGCTTCTCTTTAGTCAAGCACTGTGCTAGTGGCTTACATGCATTTTAGCTTATCCTTGAAATAATCTTGTATGGTAAGTACTGTTACTTTTTCTGTTCACAGAGGAAGCAATTAAAGTTTAAATTAGAGAGTGACTAGCGAAAGATCTCATAGTGGTGTATGGAAGAGTCAGGATTTCAAGCTAGATATGCTGACAGAACAGCTTAGCCACCCATCCTCCACACTGTACTACCTTACAACTTTTTCTAGTCTGATCTTATATGATAACTATTTATTAAGCAATTGATACATGGTAGACCAGGGACTGGGATAGATAAATGAGTAAAATGTGGTCCTAATCTCTAGGATTTTAAAGTCTAATGACAGATATACAGATGTGTAAGTACATCTTCCAAGAAATGTGACACAATGGAGCAATTCACATGGAATTGTTGGGTGAGTTGGATAAGGAAGGGTCTTTTCTCACATGTACTTTTATTCTAGTCATTGTCAGAAACCTGTCTTTTTCTCATTTTTCTGCTTTTGTTCATGATGGCCACACTGTATGGGATTATAATGCAGTGGACATTCTTTTTCTGTATTTCATTTTGCCCAACGAAGTCCAGCTCTGGATGTGAGAGAAGAAACATAGAAAAATACCCTGGCTTTAGTAGTAAGGAGTCTTCAGAACTCAAATTAGAATCCCTGATTCTGATACCCTGCCCCAACAAATAATTCTTGCTCTGGCTAACTGTTAACTCTTTCTTCAGGAATTGCCTGACTCCAACACATTTTTTCTACAGATACCTATGGAAAGGGACTTAAGCAATTCATGACACCATGGGCTGACTGTAAAAGAGGATCCACGCTTCAGTGCACAGGATGCTCCAAGAATCTCTTGAAATTATATATGCAACTTTTTCGTGCCCATGTATTATTTGTAGAGAGGGCAATCATTTATTGCATACTAAGAACCTTCCAGGCATTTCACAGCTATTATCACTAATTCTTACAATAATGAGGCATTATCCCTATTTTCCATGGAGAGAAGGAGTCGTGGCATGATTAAGGGACTTGCTCAAAGCCATGTAGCCTTGTGTCATGATTCTGACCCCTAGTTATCTGGTCAAAGCCCACATTTTCCATGATCTGCGAAAGTGCTTCAATGCTTCTCAGCAGTCTTTCTCAGATTCAGAATTCATTCCTTGTGATCCTAGAGCTAAGTCTAGTTGAGGAAAGGCCTGTTTTTCTGAGGTCAGAAGGATGTAGCCACTCCGAGAGCTATCGCTACTGTGGTCTCATCTCTCTAGGCAAGGACCATCCATCAGAAGAGAGGGCTGAACTGCACTATATGAGCTGGCCTAGCATATATCTATCTCCTAGGTAGTACCAGCCATATTGGTTGGAGAGAGGACACCTCTTGAGGAAACCTGTAGAGGCCATATGATGTATGAGGGTAGGAAGGTAGGAGGGGAACACAGACTTGGAAAATCTTCAGAATTTCCAAAGGCAGAGATGGAAGGAGAAAGGTATTCTAGGCAGAGGAAACAGCATGTGAAAGGCATGGAGTTGAGAAATAACAGAAAGTGCTGACAATGCTGAAGTTCAATGAGGCTGAAGTATAAGGTGGAGGGGAAACAGAGGGCAAAGCTTCGCAGTGTGTCAGACCATGTCCATTAGCATAAACACTGCTGGCTGAGAATTCTCATGGACTGTAGAAGTCTGAACTCAAAGATTCAACAGTTTCTTAGTAATGTCCAAAAGTCAAAGGACGACCATTACTTGATTTTTATTAAAAGACAAATGCCAATTAAATAACAACTCTTATTCAATTAGTGCCTTTTCTGTAGAAAATTTGGCAAATCCTAATATAAGGCGTAGTGCTTTTCAGCCTCAGCACTATTGCATTTTGGGCCAAATAATTCATAGCTGGGACTGGGAGGGAAGTATGTGTGTGCTGTGCAAGGTAGAATATTTAGAAACATTCCTTGTCTCTACCCACTTAACATCAGTAGTACCCAACACCCCAATCAGTTGTGATCATCAAACGTATCTCCAGACATTGCCAAATGTCCTCTGGTTGGAGGGGCAAAATCACTCCCCACTGAAACCACAATTAAACAGTCATCAAAAAATATGTCTTGTGCACAGTTGGTTCTGCTGTTTTCTAGAGGGTGGGGACAGAGTCAGGTCCACCTTGATTC